TTTTCAGTTTTGGTTTCAGGTACTCAGTTTTCAAAAGAGGAGCTCGGGAGGATTGCAGTGCACACACCATTTGTTCAGCCTGGGATGTTTATACTCTGATATATTTGATAGTTGTTATGATATTTTGAGATACATTGTTTATGATTCTTATATGACGTTTGATGAATATGGTTTTATTACTAATTTAAAACGAAATTTTTAGACTGTATTTTTGGGATGTTACAAGTTGGTATCAGAGCCTTGGTTTGAGGGATTCGGGCGCACTCCCGAGTGTGTCTGAACTCAAACTAAGGAAGTGGTATAAAGTTTTCAAAAGAAAAGAGTTTTAGAAAAGCAAAAAGAAACTTAAAAAGAAAAGAGTTTTAGAAAAGCAAAAAGAATTTTTAGAAAGAAAAGAACTTTGAAAAGAGAAAAAGGGTGTGGTGCATGCAATCAGCCGAGCTCAAGTAAGTACTCCCAAATTACCCATACAAGTTTATGTTCTGATATGAGTATCAGCTTTATGAGAACTGCATGCTAGATTAGGACTAAGGATCTAGGAAGGATGCCTTATGTACCTATTGTATGTGTATCAGCTTTATGAGAACTGCATGCTAGTTTAGGGCTAAGGATCTAGGGAGGATGCCTTATGTGCCTGTTATATGTGTACCAGCTTATTGAGAACTGCATGCTAGTACGGATTAGTCAGTATAATAGCTAGAGTAGTATATGCTTGATTATGTGTACTCATTGCCCGAATGCTGCTTGCTTTGTGCTTTTAGGAGTTCTCGTTGTCTTTCACTAACTAGTAAACGAATATGTTAAGTTACATATTGCAAGGACTAAATAATTTCAGAAGGTTAGGTCTAGCTCTATTTCGCAGCTCTTGTTTAAGTCCAACCGTTATAGGGTAGGATCTCTTATTCGAAGAATTATCTAGTCTGAGTAATATGTAATAGTATTCGCAAGCTAGTTAGGGGAAGAGAGCAGGGACTTCTTATGCAGCTGATGGCGGAGAGTGGGTTAGTGATTACCCTAGGGCAAGCCTAGGATGAGATTAGCAAGAGATCAGCAGTAGTTGAAGAAGGGACTTGGTGGAGTCGAGGCAGTACTTGAGGAAAGTACAGATAGATGTGGAAGGTAGTATGGGCCCGTACTACTGAAAGCAGAGGATCCGTACTCGAATCAAGGAAGGCTGAGATGAATCCAGGAAACTTGTAGTGAGTGGGATCCCTCGAGTTTTGATGAGCATTGTGATGTTAGTGGTGGTATATTACCGAGTATAGAGACGCTACGTGGTAGACCAGATGGTAGTTCTGGCGTCGACGAGGGATCAAGCTCGGACTCTGTAGTTGGGCAGATTGATAATCAGATGAGGGAGTTCATTCCATCTGAGAATTATGCGCAATATCATTGACCAGACTCCTGTGATCCTCAGTGTGATCAAGGAGGACATTATAGAGATTTGTGATGAGAGGCCGAGTGCATTATGCACTGAGATAGCAGTCGTGATAGAGACCCGTACGTTGATGTTTCGGGAATTCAGAGTTTGTGAGGCTTCAGATTTGTCGTGGGGGTTAGGGGCCCCATTGTTAGCAGCAGATGGTTAACAGATGTCGCCAACACTTTTGTTCCAGACATTGTCTCGAAAGGAGACAAGATCTGACTTACTTCCTGTCTCCTGAGGAATAGAGCACGAGATTGATAGGAAGAGGTTGGTAGTGAGTTGAGTGATGATGCACTTGATGCTATGTCATGGGATGACTTTTAGACCGGATTCTGGGCAGAGTGTGCCCAGGCGATTGAGGCGCAGCAGTTGGCGCAAGAGTTGTTAGATCTCCACCAGAAGACTGAGACTGTGGCAGAGATCACTGCCAAGTCTCGGGAAGAGCTTATATGGTACCACAGTATGCAGCAGATGAGGAAATGAACAAGGTAAGTTATCAGAACATACTGTTGAATGACAGCAGGGAGATCATGAGTATCTCGGGGTGCAAGACCCTGAATGATATGACTTTTTGAGCTTGAGAACGAGATATGGACTTGGAGCACCTTGGTAAGAGGGAACCAGATCAGTTGCTTATAGTGAGGGGTCTTGGGAGGAGACCCTAGATTTAGGATTAGATTTCGAGAGACCAGCAGGGTCAGATTCGGTGCAACACTTGCGGGAAACTGCATAAGGGAGCCTTTTGTTGCAAGGGTTGAGTAAGTGTAACCCTGAGTTATCCTTGGTTTGTGTCTGAATTATATTTTCGAGAGATGTCATATGCCAATTGCATGTCGAGAAGCATTAGCGAATTGTGATAGAGCAATTCCCCAGATTACGGGATTGGGAAAATACAGCGTCATCTTGGTTTATTCCAAGACTGAGGAGCAGCACGAGAAGCACCCGAGGGAGGTGCTAGAGACTTTGAGGAGAGAGAGAATTTTCACAAGATTCTCCAATTATGAGTTCTGGTTGCGCGGGGTGCAATTCCTTGGGCACCCTGTCAACCAGAAGGGTGTACTAGTAGATCCGGCCAAGATAGAGGTCGTGATGCAGTGGGAGATTCCAAGGTCTCCAATTGAGATTCAGAGTTTCCTGGTTTAGCAGGTTATTACCGACGATTTATTCGGGTTCTTGGAAGTGGTGTGATCTTTTGGACTGACTAGTATTGAAACACTAGCAATGGCAACCGTGGTTTCCTAGCAGATTGGTCATGGGTGGTAAGAAAGATTGAAAATCCTTCCAGTATTGTGTGTGGTGAGATGTTAGTTGAATCAAAGTAGGGGAGAATCGCCCAAAGGATAGGAGCAGTTTTGAAACTGGGATAAGTTTCGCATCCTTGTTTGGAAGGAAGACAACTCAAGCGGCTGTATGGTTTGAGGATAGTGTGAGATGGAAGTTCGGAAAAACTTGCCAATAAGGAGATCGCGTTCCCGTAATGTTTGCTACCAAGCCTTAGGGAATCAGGTTGGGGATTCCAGTCAGGACATGAATTCAGCTGAGTATGGGTCAAGCGTGTGTTTGATCCAGTATGGAGGGTGTTGTAAGTCTACGAGTGTAGTCGTAGCATTCACTAGCAGCCAGATAGTGATAGAGTGTTGTAAGTCTGCGGGTGTAGCTGTAGCATTCACTAGCAGTCAGATAGTATCAGAGTATTGTAAGTCTGCGGGTGTAGCCATAGCATTCACGAGCAGCCAGATAGTGATAGAGTGTTGTAAGTCTGCGGGTGTAGCCGTAGCATTCACTAGCAGTCAGATAGTATCAGAGTGTTGTAAGTCTGCGGGTGTAGCCGTAGCATTCACCAGCAGCCAGATAATGATAGAGTGTTGTAAGTCTGCGGGTGTAGCCGTAGCATTCACAAGATTAGCAGATAGTGCTACAGTGATGTAAATCTGTGGGTGTAGCCGCAACATTCACTAGGTTGGTAGATAGCGTGAGTGCGTTGTTAGGACACGAAAAGAACAGTAGTACCCACCATTTCGGGTGTAGCAGTAAGGAGATGGAAATCCACGGATTGGATTTCGGAATTACCTAGGCGGATTAGACCTGGTTAAGCCAGTGATAAGACTGTAGAAGCGCCATTACAACTATGAGAGTAAGGAAGCAGGGGACTGCTTAAGGTCATTTATGACATAAGGCTACCAATGGTCATGTAGCAATCACTTTGAGCTTTGGGTTTGGTGACGTCAGGATTCGACGCATGGAACCAATCAGTTAGAACAGAAGGCCATTAGGGCCACAGTGACAAGATAACTAGTAGCAGCTAGATTCATAGAAGGATTTCGTTCAGAAGTCGTGCGAGGCGGCTAAGCAGGGAGTCCTTTGGCTCCGCCGTTGGGCTGGAACCCGATATTTCAGATGATTGGCGGAAAATTAAGACCAGGTAGGTCTTGGTAGATGTTGGGAAGCAGCCATATGGCAGCATACAGTTTCAGGCAGTTCAGTGTGTCATGCAGTTCAGTGTTCAGACAGTTCAGTGTTTCGGGCAGTTCAGTGTTCAGACAGTTCAGTGTTTCGGGCAGTTCAGTGTTCAGGTAGTTCAGTGTTTCAGGCAGTCAGTGTTTCAGGCAGTTCAGTGTTTTCAGGCAGATCAGTGCTTCAGACAGTTTTAGGTCTCCAGCAGTAATGGTATTTGGGGATTTCATGTATGGTTAGAGTCACATATAGCTTGGGTTATGCTAAGTCACTTACAGCAGGATTATATGAGTTTTGGCTACATATAAGTGAATCGCAGGGATAGGGGGGTCTGTGATTCTGTTCTTTTAGTGGGAGCCTTGAGTTATCAGAAGATGAGTAGGCAGCTGAGAGACAAGTGGATTGGAGTCAGCAGTAATGATTCAGTATGGGCGGTCAGTTAGAGGGTCAGATCATCTCGAGACATCAGAATTCAGATGAAGTAGATGTGATCTTGTTGCGAGGGATTAGTTCGCCTGCAGATGTTAAGGCTTTGTGATGATTGGTCACAACTACCCTGAGAAGGCTAGGGTGCACCCAGAATGGTGACCATGTTACTAGAGTGGTTTGGCGTATAAGAGATGGTAAGGAATGATTTCGAGGACGAAATCTAATTTAAGTGGGGGAGAGTTGTAACGCCCCGTTTATTTAAATAAATTAATAAATGTAATTCCCGAAATTAATTTGTGAAGAATTTTAATAGTGGAGGGTTGATTAGTAAATTACGGGTCGTTTTGAGAAGAATTCTAGAGGCAAGGGTATGTTTGGTAATTATCGTACCTAGATTGTAATGAATTTTATTATTGAGGGCTGAAAGGGTAAATATTGGGTTAGTTTGTAAAATATTTCTAGAGAGAGGGACTACTTATGTCATTATGGGAACAAGTTAGGGGATCAGGGTATATATCTCGTCACCCCTCCAGTCCAACCCTAACCCTAAATGAGGAGATCAACCGCCACCTTACAATTTCTAGTCGCCGGCCGCCACCATCATCTTCAGCCGCCGCTTCCTCCACCGTCGAGAGCCTAAACCATTGTCGTGCCCCTGCTGTCGGTGACATCGAAGACTACCAGTGAAGCCATGAGGCCGTCGCTATTGCCTCACCGCCGGCGGAGGGTGCTATGTTCGTCGTTGCTGCTGCTTGCCCGTTGCTACGCCGTCGCTCGCGTCGCCGGTGTCGCTTGGGCTGTCGAACGCCGCCACTCCACCGCTATTGAATCGCAGATAATGCTGCTGCCGGTTTCGTTGAAGACCCAGTGTCGTCGGGAATGTTTTTCTGCCACCGTGAAGGGCGGCTGAGCTCGTGGAATCATGACGGGGACGCGTCATGTGGCTGTAGTAGAAAAGAAACGCCGGCGTTAGTGTCTTCTCGTGAGGAGTCGGAAAACCGCCGTTGCAGCTACCGGGAGCACCGCTGCTGTCGCCGTTTTGTGTTGTTGTTGCCGCCGTGTGCCACCAGATGGGTGGCTGGGGTCGTTTTGTGATCAGTAGGGCATATGTGTTTATTTTAGTTGAGTGGTGTTGGATTGTTTGGCCGGAATACCCATGAACAGCCACCGCCACCACCGTGAGGTGGTTGCTGCCGCCACATGCCACCGCCGGCCACCGCTAGGGTGGCTGTGTGTGTGTATGTGTGTTAGTTAGTTAGTGGTGTGTGTTTATTTGGATTAAAGCATTGTAACTGTAATTGCCAAAAGAATAATGAAAAGAAGCTCAAACCACCACCGTAGGGTGGTGGCCGCCGCCGTGAGCCGCCATTGACCACCACTACCCGAGGTGGTAGTGGATGGTGCCCCTCTAGCAAACCCTAATTGCCCTAGCAAAACCCTAATGGGCTTAAAGATTTATTTTGGGCCTGTTGGGCCATGTTTGGGTGAAAACCCTAATTAGGGTTTAGAAAACCCTAATCTTGAGTAATTGGGCCTTGGACTTATTTGGGCCCACATTTGGGCCATTGGAAATGGAATTATGTATGAAGCCCAAATCACTCCATATCACTTATCTAGTAGAGTAAAGGACTTAATGGATTAAGTCCTTAATGGGTTAAGTAAGAAACACTTAACCCTAATTATCATTTTATGTGAAACCCTAATTTCACTTGGGCTTTGTGTTGGGCCATCCAAGAATAATCAAATGGACTAGAGTAATTAGTTGGGCTCTAGGGTAAGGCACATATGAAGGATTGGGCCCAATTTAGAAAATTGGGCCATAGTTTGGGCCTAGATGGTTGTATGATATTGGGCCCTTAGAATGAGACATGTTGGACCGGACTGAGCAATTGGGCCTTAAGGGAAGTCCATGTAGAGGTTTGGGCCCAATTTGGAAAATTGGGCCATATGTTGGGCTTTGATCCCTAGTTGACTTTGGGCCTATGGATTGGGCCTTGGGCTTGGGTAAGCCAAGCTAGGGGTAATGTAGTAATTACCCAAAGTATGTATTTATAGTTATGTGTTAGAACCCAATTATTAATTGGGTGTTATTTTGGTGTTGACAGTTCGGGAATCTGTCATCCAGCAGCTAAGGTTGAGTCTGCGGGACTTCAGCAGTATGAGATTGTGTCTACGGGACTTCAGCAGTGTGAGGTGAGTTTCCTTCCATTAGGAACGGGTCTACGGCCACAATGCCGACCTGTTTAGTTAGCAGTAGTTCCGGACTTTGGTCTGATGTAGTAGTTCAGTGTGCTTGGTGTCTTTGTGATTCAAGCATGTCTTTGTGTTATGTGTTCCGGACTTCGGTCCGATGCAGTATGCAGTATATGTGTTTATGCTAGTGGTTATGATTATGCTATACTATGTTCAGTTAGTTCCGGACTTCGGTCCGATGCAGTTTCCGGACTTCGGTCTGATGCAGAGGGCAAGGCCCTGGTTAGTTCCGGACTTCGGTCCGATGCAGTTTCCGGACTTCGGTCCGATGCAGAGGGCAAGGCCCTGGTTAGTTCCGGACTTCGGTCCGATGCAGTTTCCGGACTTCGGTCCGATGCAGTGGGCAAGGCCCAGTAGTTGCTTTATATGTTATTGTATGGTATGTGGTAGTTTGGGGGAGCTCACTAAGCTTCGTGCTTACGGTTTTCAGTTTTGGTTTCAGGTACTCAGTTTTCAAAAGAGGAGCTCGGGAGGATTGCAGTGCACACACCATTTGTTCAGCCTGGGATGTTTATACTCTGATATATTTGACAGTTGTTATGATATTTTGAGATACATTGTTTATGATTCTTATATGACGTTTGATGAATATGGTTTTATTACTAATTTAAAACGAAATTTTCAGACTGTATTTTTGGGATGTTACACAACACATTGGTCCTTGGCTAGTTTATGCATATCATATACGTCAATATACACATCAAACAACCTTTGTTTTTCTAAGACAACTTTAAATGACAAAAGATGCATGAAACTTTTGTCACATAAAAAAAATAACAATTATAAAGTTGTCATAGAAAACATGTATGAACTTATTTTTATACAAAAACAAGTTATCCATATTCTCCAAAAACTAATATTTCCAAAAATAAAAAATCTAACCAAACTTGCAAGATGGCTTTGATACCAGTTGTTGGGTTTTAGTTCAAAAATAGTTTTCATAAACTAGAAAAATTATGGCAACGGAAGACTTTAATTTTGAAATAACATAAACATTTTATACCCACCAAGGATCTTCTTGCAAGTTATAGAAAGATTAAAATACCAACCAAAGAAGAGGTGAATAAATAACAACATTTGTAGTTCTTTGGGTCCTCTTGGGAAGCTTGGAAGTTGATGAAGAATGTGGAACCTTTGAGACACCAACAATGACTCAACTTGATATAGATGGTAGTCCAAAACTATTAAACTCCTAAGCTTGAAGTTCATAACCAATATGAACTTCAAGAGAGCAAAATATATGCAAGTAATCTTCAATAACTCAAAGCAAAGAAGAGATAGAGAGTCTCCCATGGAGCTCTTAGCAATTGGAAGAAAGAATGAGACAAAAACTTCAAGAGTGAAAGTTTCATATTTATAGTGCCTAAAAGTGAAGTTATTAACCATTGGTTCCTTCAACTTTGGACAAACTTGTCTCCTTGTCATAAGCATGTCTCCCATGCCTTTAAAGCATGATTAGACAAGTCATACAGTTCTTCTTTTTAGACATATCTCGAAAATTGCATAAAGAAGAAGAAAGAAAGTCAAACTTTTATAAACTCTTTTATAAAATATAAACATTGTCTTTTAGGAAAAAGACAAAAAAGATTCAACTAGTCCAAAAGTTTGTACATGACTTATAAATCATACCATATGATATATATTAAGTTACTTGCTAATGAAATTTATTATTTCCATGAAATAAATAGTTTCCAATTTAGTTAAAAGAGTTTTATTGAATATTTATTAAAATCAACTTCTAATAAATAATCAATTGTATCAAGTTGTTGTTAGTGTGACCCATTAGTATCATATATTATTTAACAATATTACTTTAATATGACTCTTGAGCATAGTAGATGTTTCACTCATCACTTTACTTGATGTGTTGAATAGGTCGGAATCAAATATTGAAAGCTAGAGTTTTGAGGCAAGAATAAAAGAATGAAAGATTGTATGTTTGTTGGATGTGAATTTTTATTTATAAGTTGAATTTATAAGAAATTATTTATTGTTTAATGCAAGCCCTAATGTGGAAATTTTGGTGAATTTTTATTTTAAAGTCGTGAACATTCGTAGTGGATTAAATGTTGGTAAAATGTTTATATGTAAATGTGAATTTCTCAAACTTTTGATGGTTTTATTAGTATTAATTATTACTTTTTAAACAAAAGAGTAAAATGATCATGTTTATCATTTCAGCACAAAAATTCAGATGTTCTAATCAAACAACATGTTAAATATTCAGATCTTAAAATTTCAGAACTTCTTAAAAATTCAAACCTATTAAAACTTCAAATCTTAAACAACCCTTGAAAGGGCAAGGGTTGATTCTAATACAAAGCTTAGACAGGAATTTCCTGTAAAAACAGGTGAATAGATTTCATGCATCTTTCATCCATTGGCAAAACTAACCCATCCCTTTTCCATAAAATATTAGTTGGTCCTTATGACTAGGATTTAATATTTTAAGTTTCTAAAACCCTCTTATTTAGTACTTCATAAATTATTTTGTTTCATTTATATTATTATTATTATTATCATCAATTTGTAGATAATTTTTTGTTTTTCTTTTAAATAATATAAAAGCTTTTAAAACTAGTAACAAAATAATTAATTATAATCAGGACGTTACAAGTGGACAAACTTTTTTCTTTTGAATTGAATTATGATTATGATCATCAACATCTACTTTAGGATATGCTTGAGACCTATATGGTCATTTGAGACTGGTCCTTAAAATTGAAACTTTAAAAGATGTTACGAGGACATTATAGATGACCTCACTCATTAAAATTTATTGAAACTATTGATTTAATACTATTGAGATTTGATGTTGTTTTAGCAATATATTTATCCTTGAAATGCTTATTTCCTCATATATTAAAATTATTGATTTGATACTATTGAGATTTGATGTTGTTTTTTTTTAATATATTTATCCTTCAAATGCTACATCTTGTAGACCAATGGGCCATTTATGTAATTTAGTTTATATTTTCACCAAAAAATCAACTATGGCGAACAGCAAGAATCGTTGACCATCACGAAACCCTTCAGATCTGCTTAAATACATATCGATGGATTCAGCCATTTCTTCCTTTCTTACCACAATACATACAGTTTTTCCATGAAACTGAAACTGTAATCTACTTCTCTTTTGATTTTAGATATTTTCAGTCACACCACATACTCATGGTGTGGCTTTTTTTTTTTTATTACAGTTACTAATACTAATACTGTGATTATACAGGTGCAGGAAATGAATCCCCGAAGTGTATCTTCAATCGATGAGATGATACCCATTGTCCAGAAGCACGAAAATTCAAAAACTCCGACGACTTCATATGGCCCTCCTCCTCCACCACCGGAACCACCACGACCGCCGAAGCCAGATCTACTTGGTAAACTCTTACATCAACCATAATCAACAATCACAAACACTTTTCGTCTTTTTGGTGAAAAAAACATCCACAAAATCCTTAATTAACGTCGATTTTGTAATTACTTTAAAGGAAATAGAGACGATATCCACAAATTCAACGTTCCTGTTGGCAAACGCCCAAATCTTATAGGGTTTGTCATCAGTGAAAATTATGATACTACACTTCACATTGCAACATCTGCAAACATCAGCAAATCAGTGGAAAAGTTTGTGAAAAATCATGTGAATGGAACAGTTAGAACTTCAGAACAAATATCACAACACTTCACTGTGTATAGTATCAACAAATGGATATGTCAGAATCGTTAAGACTATGGTGAATAAGAATATGGTCCTGTGGTATCAAGGAAGAATGCGACTCTACATGGCTTGTTGTTTTGGAATAAGCGAGTTGTGTAGAAGCTGATCTCTTTGGTAAGTAGTTGTGATTCTGTTTTCACTTTGTTTGATGTATAAGTTATAACACCTTACCAGTTACCTCATTAAATATTTTGTAGATGTTGCCTTAAAAATAGTGTATTGATGCCGAAATGGGAAACACTGAATTTATAGTTGAGCTCATTCGACACTATCTAGAGTTATTATGGAAGAAAAATGATGATGAGCAAACTATATTTCATGTAGCTGTCACATACTGTGATGAAGGTATCTGCAATCTTCTGCATGAGATCGGCTCACTGAAGGATATGATAACTCCTCTCAAGGACAAGGAAGGAAACAATATGTTGCATTTAGTTGGGGAAACCGAAATAAATCGACTTCAAGATGTTTCAGAAGTTTTTCAAATGCAACGTGGACTACTATGGTTCAAGGTACTTCTTTTTATCCATGATTTTAATAGATGGAGAATATCATTAAGGTTAAATGCCAGAAATGGCGATGAATTTTCATATATTTGTTTATTATAGCATCCTACTTAATTTTTTTTGTTATAGCTCTTTGCTTTGAAAAATTTACCCAATTATAGCAATTGTCCAAATACAAAGCAATTTTCATTGCTATGATTGGGTAGATTTTCAAAGTAAAATGTCTTAATAAGAAAATAATTGTAAGGTCAATGCTATGCTTTGTAGATTTTTCGAAGTACAATGTCTTATTTGTATGGATACAAACCCATTGAAATAATGTTCCTTGGTTTTTGTGTAGGAAGTAGAAGTTAATGATGGAGCGTATAGAAGAATCTACTCTCTGCAAATGAGAAGTGGATGGTGGTTGCGACACTCATAGTTTCTTTGTTTTTTCCAAGGACAAGTTTGTGAGACTTCAATACGATATTCTAATGGATGTTTATCACTAATCACTTGTTTTTAATGTAAATGTATTTTATAAGCATTGATGCATGATGGATTCAAGTAATGCACAATTATTTTGCTTGTCATATTTTTTGGAAATCTGTTGTAACTAGGGTCGATACCCATGCTTTGCATGGGGCAGTTATAAGTAAATCTAAGAGTCAAAATACATCAAGTATTGAAACCATGGGTAAAAAACTTATAAGTAATCTGCTATTATAGGAATAAAAAGAGTACACTAGATTGCTATTCCGTATAATTTGCCCTGCATAAATTTATAAACTTTAGAAAACACCAATCATATAAATGTTCAGTACCACAATTTTGAACGTTGAGTTGGCATTTGTACTATCATTAGGAAATGACTTTTAACCCATTTGACCTAATTTTGGCCAAATAATTTTGATTTTCCTTATTTACTCACTATAGATTATAGATAAAATATAAATAAAACCAGCTCATTCATATACAAATTAACCAAAAAGTCAAACCCTCCCTTCTTTAGCAACTTCTTTTAGTTTTGCGTATTTTATTACTCATTAAAAGATATTACTAATCACATAAAAAATTTAAAAAGTAAATAACAATGAAATTGGAGAACATAAAATAAAGGCAATTTCTGGAGATTATCTTACCATATTATCACCAATATAAACAATGTAGTTTAATTTTACACATAATGACAGCAAAGTTACAATTATTTACCCAAAATAGTAAGATCATCTAAAACCTGTGAAATATGCTCAAGTTTCATGGCTATTATTAGCCAAGACATATAATATGTTACTAATATGTTATGAACTAGTTACAAGAACAAGAACAGATTCAATAACATAAAAAAGCAACCAACAACTTCAAATATTGATTGATAACCTCAAATATACCCAAATGATTACAAGGACAATGATAGGTTAGCTGATTCGAGATAGCTACTCTCCCAAGGAAAATAAATTCCAGATTTCACAAAAAGATTGATACCTCACTCCCCATTCTCACTTCCCTCTTATACTATCTGACCTAACAAACTAAAATAATATAAAAAACCTAAATTGCCCCTGAACTAATGAGATTCTCTTTATTTATTGAATTTCCCATATTGCCCTTATCTAGCCTATGTGACATAAGTTGATGCATAACAATACCCCACCCCAAAAGAACCACCTTGTCCTCAAGGTGGATAAAAATAATGCATAACACCCAAATTCTCTCAGCTGGCTTCTTCTTCTTGCCCTTAGCCTTACCATGATCTGCAACAACCACAACAATCACCACATATATTCCACCCACTTGTTCCATTGCCCCCATGATCATCTTAACAACTTCCGCATCAGCCTTGCATGCCACATTAGTAGTCTCAACATTGCCAATATGCAAATTCTTTAGCTCTTCATCTTCATCTTGATTCTTTCCTCTTCGTACGGTCACCGCTTGAAAATACCATCCCTCAACTCCAAACTTCTCTAGGAACTTCGCATTCGTCCTCATACTTTGCTTTTCCATGGCTAAAAGAGTTAGTACCTTCTTTCCCTGGCCAAATTTTAGTAGCTGGACCCTTAGAAATAGTTCCAACGTTGTCAATCATGTCACCCAATATAAAAACATTTCCGCCAGTTAAGTTCATCATCTCGGCCACATTGCGTCCACAACCCTTTTTTTTATTAATTGCCAAAGGTGCATCAGATAACTTTTTGGCAAAAGCACTCGCCCTAGCCACTCCACCAACATCAGGTGACAACATTACCAAATCATTTGAGCAAATTGACTTGCTGGCAAGATAATCAAGAATAGCATGCTGACAGTAAACATGGTCAACTGAAATATCAAAATAACCCATTGACTGCCCAGAATGAAAATCACAAGCAAGAACACGATCCGCACCTTCTTCCATGATGAAATTTGATACTTGTTTTATTGAAATAGATTCGTGTCATTGAGTCTTTCTATGTGTTTCAGCATATCCAAAATAAGGTATAATTTTTGTGATGTTCTTGGCTAATGCTTTTCTACCCACACATTCCAATCAGATCATTCTATCCTCTAATCAGGAATCTGTACATGCAATTCAAAGGCTCATACAATCAGGCATAACCTAAACAGACTATCCTATCACTGACTGATCAGTACTAGCATGCAAGTCTACAAGCACATACAGTAGGCATATAAGGTATCCTCCTAGATCCTCAACCCTAATCTAGCATGCAGTTCTCATAATCATATCAGATCATAACATAACATGTATGGGTATCTTGGGAAAAACTTACTTGAGCTCGGCTGATTGCACGCATCACACACTTTGTTCTTCTCAAAGTTCTTTTCTCTTTTCAGATTCTTTTCAAACTCCTTTTTTATAAAATGGTTTTACTTTTGAAAATTTTCATACCAAGCCCTTAGTTTGAGTTCAGACACACCCGAGAGTATGTCCGAATCCCTCAAACCAAGGCTCTGATACCAACTTGTAACATCCCAAAATTCAAGGCCAAAAATTTCATTTTTAAATAAGTTATTACATAAAACCATCAGTATAAAAACATTCATAATAATATCTCGTGTCAAACCAAAGTGTCAGTAATCAAAACATATTATCATAAAACCATATCAGAGTGTAATCCCAAAGATCTCATGTGCGGAAAACATAGTGTGATGCGCTGCGATCAAGCCGACTCCTTTCCTTTGAAAACGAGTACCTGAAACCAAAACTGTAAACCGTAAGCACAAAGCTTAGTGAGTTCCCACATCATACCACGTACCATACAATCACATAACATACATATACTGTCAGGCATATCTGGGTGCCCGACCTACCCCTTCGGTCCTCTCGACAGGATACTGCCTATCATATCTGGGTGCTGGCCTCCCCTTCAGTCCTCTCGACCGGATACTGCCTAGCATATCTGGGTGCTGGCCTCCCCTTCGGTCCTCTCGACCGGATACTGGGGACTATTTCACCCCTACCGCTACCACATCAAACCCTAGCATATAAACATAAATCACATACTGCCTAGCATATCTGGGTGCTGGCCTACCCCTTCGGTCCTGTTGACCGTTAACCGGGGACTATTTCACCCCCTACTACTACCACATAATATCATATCACATGTATCATAATCTGGCTAGCATGGCTGGGTACTAAACTACCCATTCGGTCCTATCGACCGGTAACCGGGGACTATTTCACCCCCTACTACCACTATCACATAACATCATAACATGCTAGCACATAAAACATAACAGGTAGCAGCAAACCTAGATGAATATCACAAAGACAATCATCTAACATACAACTCCTACTAGTGGGCCGACATTGTGGCCGTAAACCCACCGCTACTGGAAGGTAACTCACCTCACACTGCTGAAGTCCCGTAGACACAATCCCACACTGCTGAAGTCCCGCAGGCTCAACCCCAGCTGCTGGATGACAGATTCCCGAACTGTCAACACCAAAACAACACCCAATTAATAATTGGGTTCCACTACATAACCATAAGTACGTACTTGGGGTCATTACTACATTACCCCATGCTTGGCTTTATTCAAGCCCAAGGCCCAATCCATAGGCCCAAAAGTCAACTATGAGTCAAAGCCCATCATATGGCCCAATTTTCCAAATTAGGCCCAAACCTTTACAAGGTCTTACCATAAGGCCCAACCATTTAGTCCAGTCCAACATTCAACATTCTAATGGCCCAATATCATATAATCATAAAGGCCCAATCTATGGCCCAATTTTCCAAATTAGGCCCAACTCCTCATATGGGTCTTATCCTAAGCCCATCAACACGTTCTAGTCCATAAGATTATTCTTGGATGGCCCATTAATAATCCAATTACCAAAGCCCAATAGAGAGGCCCAACAATAAACCCAAGTGAAATTAGGGTTTCTCATAAAATGGTGATTAGGGTTAAGTTTCCTACTTAACCCATTAAGGACTTAATCCTCTAAGGACTTAATCCATTAAGTCCAATATCGCTTAGATTAATCTTTGCCAATGATTATTATTTAATATCTCAAGTTATTAAATAATTCTCGTGTGTGTGTCCCGATTAATTCTTAAAGTTAGGGTTTCATTGGCATTTGGGTTTTCCAATCCAAATATTAGCCCATTTATCAATTTGTTGGCCTTTTATGTCAATTAGGGCTTTATTGGGCCTATTAGGCCCACTGGAATATCATTAAGCCCATTAGGCTTCATTGGGCCCATTAGGGTTTCTAGCACCCCAAACAAATCAATCACAACGAGGCAAAGCACACCGCCACCCGACACGGCGGCCGGTGGCGGCAGCCACCACCCTAAGGTGGTGGTTTTCAAGTTCTTTTCATTATTCCAACTCCGGTTACAATATTACAATAAAAATACCAACTGGAAACGCAAACACACACTAACACAACTACACATGGTGGTACACGGCGGCAGCCACCACCTCACGGTGGTGGTGGCGTACCATGAATCAAGAGCAACAGCAGCACCATCCGTCGACGCTCTGGTGGTGATGGCGACGGCGAGCATTTCCGAGGAGCGGAGACAATAGGCTGGAGAAAGGAGGGCGCACGCAACCCACCCACGAACCACCACACAACCCATGGTCGATGGTCTCCGACTCTCGCGACTGGATAACCGATGGGCGGCGACCCTTCGTCTTCGACGGCAGCAAAGGTCCGTCGGCGACCTTGGTTATTCGGAGCAGCGTGAGGAGGAAGAGGCATGACAGCGGGACGAGGGTGAAGGAGATATCGGTTGGAGGATGAAAGGGAGTGGGTGTCGGCTGTTACATAAGTTGCTTAGGGTTAGGGTTTCATATTCAATATATACCCGATGGACACAAACATATTACCATAATGGCAAGATAGGTCCCTCCAGCTCTCATTTATTTCAAAGTAGATCCAGATTTTACCTTTTAGACCCCGACTCCTAACATTCTTTTCAGAATAAGCCCAATAGTTACTAAACAGCCCCTATCTTCTAAAATCTTTACAAAACTAATACATAATTTACAAAACCACCCCTTTCTTGACGAATTCTTTTCAATTAAGGTCCAGAATTCACCCTTTAGCCCTCAACTTCTAAATTTATGACAATTAGCTCCATCCTTTGATACATAATTATTTATTTTAGGGCTACTATTCGTTCATTATTTCATTTATTTATTTAATAAATAAACAGGCGTTACAGCGTCGCCTTGAAGAGCCATCACTGCAGCATCGAGCTTGTCTTCTTCTCTCAATCCGTAAAAAGAAAAATACCATTCAGCCTCTAGGATCCAGTCCGACTGATTACCATCGAACAAGGGAATCTCTAGCTATTCGGAAGGCAGCTTGGGACCTCCTGGGATCGGAACTGCATTCTTGCTGCTGTCATGGTCGGAGTATTCTAGCGATCCAAACCGAGAATTCACCAAAATATGTTCTGTTGCGTCGTTGGAAGATTTGAACCGCCGACGTATTAATCCCTTAAGCTCTTCCCAATCTCGTATGGGCCGCCTCCGATGCTCTCATTCATAGAAAAGTAAGGCGTCGCCTTCTAGAGATCTCACAGCAACCTTCATCATTTCTTCATCCTCATACGTGTAGAATAACCTTTTTCCACATTACAAATCCACTCCTCTGCGTTAGTTCCATTAAACAAGAGCATCTCAAGTTTGTGAAACCTCCGGTTGGTCCCTCCTTCCTTAAGAACCGTTTCTCTCTTCTTTGTGACAACTTTCGGTGGTGGTGGCGGCGGCGGTAGTCTATAGCTGTTGCCTTTACCTCTTTTCTCTGAAAAAATGGAACAAACCCTCTCGTTCTCAGTGGCCATCTCAGTCATCTTTTCCACAAGAAGAGAACACTGATTGTTCATCAGTTGTTGCAAATCAGTTAGAGCTGATTTCACTCCTTCCCATCCTTCTTCTGCTGCATCTATTCTTTGATCCACAGGAACCAGGTTCATTGCTCTGATACCAATTTGTTATGAACTAGTTACAAGAACAGATTCAAAAAAATAAAAAAGCAACCAACAACTTCAAATATTCATTGATAACCTCAAATATACCCAAATGATTACAAGGACAATGATAGGTTAGCTGATTCGAGATAGCTACTCTCCCAAGGAAAATAAATTCCAGATTTCACAAAAAGATTGATACCTCACTCCCCATTCTCACTTCCCTCTTATACTATCTGACCTAACAAACTAAATAATATAAAATACCTAAATTTCCCCTGAACTAATGAGATTCTCTTTATTTATTGAATTTCCCATATTGCCCTTATCTAGCCTATGTGACATAAGTTGATGCATAACATAATATAAATACAAAAATATAAATAATTTACTTCTATGAGTAAGTTACATTAGAAAGTAATACATGTATATTCTATTACACAAAATTTAGCTCTTCCATTTAGTATGAACACAACACTACCAATTCATAATTTTTAAAAGAACAAAAATTACCAAAAGAAACTTTATACGAAACTTTATCAATTGAAAACATATTTAAAAAGATATGCAAATTAAAGCCTCAAAAACCAACTAGAAACCATAAAACATAGCATCCTTCATGGTAATAAATATTTCAAACATACCATTTATGGCTTAAATTTAATAGTAATGTACTTCAATCTATTTGTATCTCACACCATTCTTTTCCATTTCTTTCTATTGGAGTATTGTATTTTCAAAAATTAAAAAAAAAAACAATTTTCACAACCGTAATTAGGAAGATTTTCTATTGGAGTATTGTATTTTCAAAAGATTTAAAAAAAAACAATTTTCACAACCGTAATTGGGAAGATTTTCTGAGTATACAAATTTTCATAATACAATTTTGTAATTAAAAATCAAAGTACAATGCTATAAATGGAAGTTATGGAACTTTGAGATAAGATAAATAGTTTAGGTTTAGACGTTACCAATCAGCACGACATAAAGTTGAAGCCACGAACCGATACGAAACACAAAAATTGTGGTATAAATACAAAGCTTTAATCTCCCGAACCTGGTTCAAAATAAAACGTTTTGAGTTAATTCTCTATAATTTAGATGCCAGTAAATGGTAACATCCCAAAAATACTAAGGACAATTTTTTATTTTTAAATAAACAAAAACCCTCAACCATATATTTCAAAGAACATCAATGAGAGTCGAAAATAGTTATCAGAGTACAGTCCCAAAATCATTAAATGTTGGACACAGGTGGATGTGTTGCGATTAGGCCGGGCCCTTCCCTTTTGAACCGGAAGTGCCTGACATCATTTAAACATAAACCGTAAGCACAAAGGTTAGCGAGTTCCCCAAAATACCACATACCATACAAGCAACGGGCCCACGGGCCCTGCCCAATGAGTATAACGAGTCTCGCCATAACTCGCATAACAGGCCTCGTCCTAACCCGCACAACGGGCCCCGCCCAATGATTATAACAAGCCTCACCCTAACTCGCATAACGAGCCCCTCCTAATGAGTATAATGGGCCTCACCCTAACTCGCATAACGGGCCCCACCCAACATGCAAAACATACAAGTATCTTACAGACAACTAGCATCCTACAAACATAATCCAATGGGCCGACATTGGTGTCTTCGACCCACGAGTACAGTGAAGAGACTCACCTCGAAACGCAACTCTAAATCAACAAGCTCACAAGGTCCAAAATAGTGCTAAACGTCACCTAGGTAAACATGTAAGTAATACCCTTAGTATACCTTCTAAAACTAGATATTTGACCCAAGACAACAAGTCAAAAGTCAACCCTCAAAGTTAACGGTCAAAGGTCAAAGCCAACAGTCAAACAATAGCTTCAGCGACTCGCCACTCCGTGGCCAAGGTCCGTGGCCATCCTTGGCCATATCGTGGCATCAAATCAGGACAAAACAATCGATCCAACCCCAGTTGCCACGACGTGGCGACCTGATGCCACGCCGTGGGCATTGGATTCAAAACAACTTAATGGGTTAAGTTGTTTCCTTCAGCCCCAAAGCTCAGATCTATTCCAAAATATGGTCTAGAAGGACAAAGTTTCCAACTTTATCCATTAAGTCCACCCAAAAAGGACAAAATCTCTAATCCTAGGTTCCATAGGACTAAAAATGGCAAAGACTCAACCATTAAGCACTTAATCTCGAAGGTCCTTAGTCTAACTTCTACAGAATGCTTCTAGGACCCCTAATGGTGCATAAAAATCCAAACATTATGGACATGCATAACCCATACATGTCCTTCTTCAAACTAGATCAAAAAAGGAACAATATAACCCAAAACCCATGCATGGTTCACATCTTACCACAAAATTCGAGATCTATAAGATATAACACTCAAGGGACATAGAGAAACCATAAAATTGCAAACTGTATCTCTTATAATCACTCCAACCACTCCAAAAGGACCAAAACATGCTCCAAAACCTGGATCTATGAAGGAGAACAGAAAAAGGTTGAAGTTTAAGGATTTACAAAGAGGCAAGAAGATGCACACAAATGGATAAAAGGATTGCTTGATGAATCAATATGCTAGCTCTTCTTCTTCTTCCCTCAAAACCACCACAAGTTTGCTAAAATGAGCACAAGAGCACCAAGGAGGATTAGGGTTAGGTTTCTGGGATTTGAGAGTGATGGAGGCTGAGAATGAGCAACCTTAGCCTCCTAATTTCCTTTAAATACCTGAAAATTAGGATTTAAGACGTTAGCGACGGCCACGCTGTGGCCTTTACTTGCCACGTCGTGACGAGTCAAAAGAGACTCGCGACCAAAGATGCTTCGTCACGCCGTGGTGATCCTTCCCCACGTTGTGACGCCTCTCAAAATAAAATTTTAATTAAAATAAAGTATACCTCAAAAACCGGATGTTACAGTTCTCCCCCACTTGAATCAGACTTCGTCCTCAAAGTCCGTTGCTGAAACTCAAATCTGATCAACGCCTATCAACATAACTCTTCAGTCGGCTCTATGCGGTCTGCAACCCCCCACGCACTTGTTGGATCAACTCGTTGGTCCGGATTACCACCTTCGTGCTACCCATGACTCGCTGACCGACCTCGCCCCAGTAAATCAGGGTCCGACACTTCCTCCCGTAAAGCATCTCAAAGGGAGGTTGATCAATACTGGCGTGGTAGTTGTTGTTGTAAGAGAACTCAACCAATGGGAGGTACATGTCCCAGCTACTGCCAAAATCCAGTACACATGCCCGTAGCATATCCTCCAAAGTATGGATAGCTCGCTTGTTTTGACCATCGATCTGCGGATGAAAAGCCATGCTGAAGTGTAGTTGCATACCCAAATCCTCATGAAATCTCTTCCAGAATATGGAAGTGAATCGAACATCTCGATCAGAAACTACCGAGACGGAGACCCCATGCCGTGCCACAACCTCCCGGATATAGACATCCACCAACTTCTTCGCTGAGATACTCTCCTAAATAGGAATGAAATGCATACTCTTAGTCAATCGATCCATGATGACCCAAATCGAATCTACCCCTCGTGCGGTCCGCGATGGCTCTGTGATAAAATCCATCGTAATCTCTTCCCATTTCCAAATGGGAACACCCAACGACTCCATCTTGCCATGAGGTCGTTGATGCTCGGCCTTGACTTTCCTGCAACTCAAGCATCTCTCCACATACCAAGCCACATCCCGCTTCATGCATGGCCACCAATAATCACGTCGGAGGTCTCTATACATCTTTTTCATACATGGGTGAATAGAAAACCTCGACTTATGCGTCTCCTCCATCAAAATTTGCCATGTACCCCCAAAATATGGAACCTAAACTCTCCGATGAAGGGTCAATAATCCCTGGATATCATAATCAAAAGAGGACACTTGACCCATTATACACTCACTCTTCCGGTGCTCCTCTTTCATAGCCTCCACCAAAGCCTCACGATTCTGCTCCAAGAGTAGGGTAATCACTGTCATCCTCAAACAAACATGCCTGATGGGGGCATCGACTGCCTTGCGGATAAGAGCATCAACCACTATGTTGGCCTTCCCAGGGTGATAAAGGATCTCGCAATCATAATCCTTCACCACATCGAGCCACCTGCATTTCCTCATATTCAGATTTGGCTAATCCATCAAATCTCTCAAACTCTTGTGGTCCTTGTAAATGAAACAACGAACCCCATACAAGTAATGACGCCAAATCTTGAAGGCGAAAACCACCGCCCCAACTCCAAATCATGAGTGGGATAATTCGCCTCATGAGTCTTCAACTGCCTAAAGTATAAGCTATCACACGACCCCTTTGCATCAAAATTACAGGCAGTCCCGAAATCGACGCATCACAATACACAAAGAAATTATCCACACCCTCTGGTAGGGTAAAGAGCGGAGCCTCATATAACTTCTGCCTCAAAGTCTAAAACGCCGTATGCTGCTCAGGCCCCCAATGGAAAGTAGCAAACTTCTTCGTCAACTTAGTCAACGGAACTACGATCCTGGAGAAATTCTCGATAAACCTCCGATAATACCCAACTAAACCAAGGAAAATTTGAATCTTGGATAGAGACCTCAGAACCTCCCACTGCATCACGTCCTCAATTTTGGCCGGATAAACCAATATACCCTTCTGATTGACAAGATGCCCCAGAAACTGCACCTCGCGCAACCAGAACTCGCACTTGGAGAATTTGGCATATAGCCTCTCCCTCTTCAGAGTCTCCAGAACCTCTCGTAGATGATCCTCATGGTGCTCCTTGGTCTTAGAATAAACCCGGTTCATGAGATCCATGAACGCTGCTGGTGCATTGGTGAGCCCAAAAGGCATCACCACGAACTCGTAATGACCATAACGAGTCCTAAAGGCCGTCTTCTAAACATCCTCATCTCGAACCTTCGTCTAATGATAACATGAATTCAAATCAATATTGGTGAAACAAGTCGCACCCTGCAATTGGTCGAACAAATCATCAATCCTCGGAAGCAGATAACAGTTCTTCACCGTTAA